GACCATGAGGTCAAGCATGGCACCTCTCCTTATCAGCTCCTCTATTACTTGCAACCCCCACAACGGTACTTCCCAAAGAGGTGTCCTGCAAAGCTCTACTGCAGCATGATCTTTATGTAATTGCTTCTCATGCATTTTACACTGGATGTTGCCAAAATACACTTCATGCAACTTACCTAATGTTTTTGTCGTTGTTTAATAAGAAACGGCCCAGGATGTTAATGGCTAACACCTACAGAGAGAGTAAGCGAAGGTCAGTGATCGAAAAAGGCTGCTGGTCATCTCCACCGTTTCAAGATGATCTTAAAGTCAATGTGTTCAAGTTACCACTATGGTTCTTAGCTAAAAGCATATCAAAGAACTCTAGAGGCTATCTCAGCAGAGAAAAAACAAAGACAAACACAGCACAGGCTCTCTCCTGCTCACAAGGGAACACAGTCTGCAGGAAGTTTTGCTTATTTTTGTTATTAAAAAAATTACAAAAGCCAACAAAAAACAAATACCACTTTATGAAGAGGCTACAGTCTTATCTAGAGGCAACTGCACAGCTATGTTTGGGTGAAACAACTTTGCTTCATGTCCTCTATACAAATTACTCTAATACAACCTGGGGAGGAACAGGGGCATAGCAAAGGCAACTTACCCGCAGCCCACTCTCGGATTTTATGTCCATAATTGTCAGCACAGTTTCATAGAGAATGGCATTTCCCACGTTTTTACTTGTTTCTGTATTAGTGGCAACCTGGAAAAAAGAAATAAAATCAGTGACTCCAATGCAACCAAAGCAGATCCCCTGTGTGCTGTTTGGCAAAGCATGCAGTGAAACTAAACAACCCCTAGCAAACAAGCATCACACCTACTAACGTGTCTCTTACAGCAAAATTCAAGCCAGCATAGCAAGCTGCTGAATCCTCACCAGTGCTGCTGAATCCAAAGTATTAAGAAACCAAAAGAGGAAGTTTCAGCTGCCCATCAACCTTGCAGACCTCACCTGTGCAAGTATATCATTCATTGCTTCACTAGAATCATCATCATTTCGTCCCAAAATTCTTAGTAACCGCAGGATTCGTACCTGTTCGACAAAATAAAGCAAAGCAAAGCTCACTGGATGGCAGTGTTTTACCTCGGGGCCATGAAACACCCAGCATACTTCCTGAGGAGTGGCAAAGAAGCAAAACAAGCTGCTCATCTCCATTCCTAAGCAAAATGCTTATCCTTACAAGACCTTTACTACCAAGAACCGGCTTATGCTGTGCTCATTTTCTTCCCAGTAGCTAGAACTGTTAAGAGTACCCCTGCTACCCACTAGGCACAGACTTTTAAGACCAACACATGTTGCTGCTTCCCCCTTGTCACAACTTCACATAATATGATAAGGCACTACAACTGCTGTTCAAACTAAAGCAGGTGCCTTTCACTAAGGTAAATGAAGAGCATCTGCACAAACACCTCTAACAAAGACACAAAATCTTAAAATCAACACAGCTGCCCTGAGGTACCCACCTCATCACACCTAAGCCTCAAAACACAGTGCTAGAATTAAATCAGTTTGTATCAAATCAGTTTGTATCAGTTCTTACCTGCAAAAAGGGGTCACTGATCCCAGACACATCATGCTCTGGTGAATATCCAGACATGATAAGGTTCTTCAGAATACGAACTAATTGGGGAACAAGCTGTGAAGAAGAGAGTTGTCCTATTAGGGTGTAGTTCCTTTCCTCACCCCAGCTTTTAAGTATCAGTCCAAGAACAAATCTCATATTTGTTGAAATCAAGTCAGTCTATGGATTTCTACACGAAGTTCAACCTGCACACCTAAAGCTGATGTTACACAAATGCCTACAGCTCAGCTAGGGCACAACAACAAACAGTTAAGCTGGGTCCTGAGCACCATGTTGTATCTTTAAAGAGCTAAATCTACCACAGCTTGGCAGTTGAGACCTGAGAGGAAACACCAACTTTAATTCCTCTCTTCATGAAAAGGGGATGTGCTGGGACTATAAAAATGGTATAATTCTAGGACTTTGCCTGGGGGCTTTACATTATCTCCTGACTAATTCTTAACATGCATCTCCATGGAAGCATCAGGCATAGTCAAGTGTTTTGATCTTTTCAAGCACTGTACTGCTATGATTAAATTATTAACAATTCCTTCAAGTTTGACACTCCATCCAACTTAACTTCTAGAAAGAAAAGCACTGTGATCTGCTTCCTCTCTAAGAGCTTCCAAATAGGACACAGAATGGATTTCCCTCCAGCCTTCTCTGAGGGCTCTACTGTTAGACCATGCAAGTAGTTCCAGTGTCTGTCCTCCTTCTCTTCATCACAAACTTCTTGGCAAGAGCAGCAATGCTAAAATGACCAAATTCTTTGCTCCACTGTTGTTAGAAGGGTTCTGCATAGCAACAGAGAAACTGATGGCAGCACTGCTACTATGCCAGATTTGGGAGCACAAAATCCTATCACACTGTTCATATTTTAAAGTTTCCTTCCAACTGTGCAGGCTAAAAAGTACTTTCAAAAGCAGTTTGTATTCCTCAGATGTTGATGGCACCAGTCTCCCAGTAGACATCTACCCATAGGTATAAGTTATCTTTCAAGACTTGTACATAGCTTTGAAGAAATGCTACCTATTTCCAAATGTCTGGTTCAGCTCCCTTCATCTTAGACACATCTAGCATTTCTCCATAGCATCTCACACATGTCAAACAAGTAATCAGTTTAAGGCAGAACATGGCAAATAAGCCAATCATTAAAGCAGACAAGCTGTAACAAACTCATTATTTATCTCCAAAAACCATCATAGCAGCTATGAGTAACAAAACAGTCTTAGGGATGAAGTGGAAGCTAATTTTCAACATATCCTATGGAAAATCTTAAGGCTGAAAGACAGAAACTGGACTAATTTTTCATTAGGCTGTAAGAGAAAAACCACTCCTGGTGGATGTCACAGAGATGTAGATCTATATAAGCTTTATTCCTTCCATAGGAAGTTCCTTCTATCCCTCTCTGTGCTGGTATCATTAAAATAATCTAGACACTGTCTGGAGACGTGACAAACCAGAGAAGTGTTATGGTGATTGCAGTAAGTGGATTTTTCCTTCCTGAATCATGGCTAGCACCAGGACAGCATCATTCTCCCAACCCATACATGACAATTAGAGTTTAGCAAAGTGTTCTCTACAAAACTTCCAATGATTCACCTTTAAGACTTCATAAACTTTCCCATCCTCGAAATGGGATGCTTCTCCATTCATGTTTGCCTACAAGTCAGGAATTGCATTCACTCTAAATTGATACCAGATTAGAGATTGCTTATAGAAAAGTGACACTTCTGACAGCATCACATCACAAAGGTGCTTCAGATTCAGGACAGACAGTAGCAGGTGGTGTCAAAAGCACAGTGTGACTTCAAGAGCGCAACAGCTGCATGTGGACAGACTAAATGGGCAATGTTTTCTGGGCCGAATTCCTGCACATCCGAGGTACAGCGCAAGAAGAAAACCAGAAGAGTTCCCCCATCCTCTCTTTTTATTCCTACCTCCATTGTTCAGGAATTACATACCCCTCTGAAAACAGGTATTTCGTAAGACACACAAACAAAAAGGAAGCAAGAATTTCTTAATTATCTGCCTTAAAGAGGAAACCAAAGGGTGCTGCAGTATCTTTCCTCAAGACAAAACAGAGCGACCTGTAGGAGCATTCCTGGAACCCTGATTAACATTTTCTTTGCCTTCTAACATGCAAGAGTTATCAGGACTGAGGACAGAACAAAGAGAAACATTACAGCCATGGAGACTGATTGAGGGCCATCCCCCCCCCCAAGTCTTCTGTTGTCATATTCCACCCAGGAAATACATCAGCAGTGCAGCTGTAGTCAGTAGCTCTTTGCAGCACAGGAAGCCCACTTACAGGTGGCCAAGTCTCTCCTGCTTCCTTTTGGGAAGCACCCACAGTTCAGGCAAAACACAAAGCCCAGGTTTTGATAAGAAAAAACCCACAGCTGCAGTTGGATTAGGCAGAAAAAAAATTCCAAAAGTATTCCTCAAATGAAAATAAAAGCAGGGTCATGTTTGGAGAAGGCCATAACTGAGATTCAGGGCTGCCATGGGCATAGAGGTTTAGTGACAAGACCAGACCAGCACAAAAAAGCATTATACAAGCAGAATCAATCTAAGCATGTGGCACCAATCACAGATGTGGCACTAAGAGGCACTGCTTCACAAGTGACAAGCATCTACAGATTCAATGCGAGCATGCACCATCTAGAAGAATTAACTCTTACCTTTTCATTCTAACACACAGCAGGATTCCAAATAGACAAAAGGGACAAAACAGATGAAGCAGGCATTAGGGAGAAATCCATGTTATACCATTCACAGCATAAACAACTACAAGGGATAGCTAGAAAAGAATGTACCTCGTACCTAAATTTTGTGGACTCTTTTCCTATCACTATCATCTCAACTGAGCAATTAGTAGCAGAGATGGCTACCTTCAAGATGACCCTAATCCCACTTCCACTTCCTGCTTTGACATACACAACCAGGGCAAGGGAAGATGCATGCCAAAATGCTAAAATGCATCAAAGGATGCACTGTTTGAGATCCCTAATGGTACAGACATGCCAAGGAAGAAGAGTACATAAGAACCTTTAGTACTTTTCAGAGGAGCAAACAGCCAGTTCTGTTCTACCAGCTTTGTTCAATTTCTCCTTCTTTGACCAAGAAGTCAGAATTATAATCAATGCAATTTCAGATGTCCTTCTATTGGCATTGTTTCATACAGCAATAATACTGCACAGCAAACTATAGCAAACAGCACGAGAAAGCTCAGGGGTGGGGAGGAGAAGCAAACATTCCTAACCAGAGGAAGTGACATTAACTCTCCAACCCGTAAGTTAGAATGATAAATGATGCAGTATAACATGCACAAGAGGCGAGTTATCTACACAACTAGAACTTTCAGTGGTATTTTTGACCCGAGTTTATAAAAGTATGTGGCTGTGGTTAAGGTACTGAGGTGTCAGTACAAGCCTCAGTTTTTCATCTTTGCTTCTTTATGTTTAATACATTTATGATGCCAGTGTCACTATGCAATTAGCTACAAAGAGTGGAAAAAGCCCTAAGGGAACAAAGAGGACATTTTATACCTAACTTTAGGGTGAGTTTCATACTCCATAAACTTAAGACTGATGTTTTGTAACTTACCCAACTTACTGAAAGGGACTAGTGCTAGATACTCACAAAATTCACAAATTCAATGATTTTTTTTTTTATTATTTTGATAACAAGCAGACTTCTTTCCCCAAATATTGCATTAAAAGACATGCGCATTGCTTCAACTAGGGAAATTAAGAGGACACACTTAAAAAAACCCAAACAAACAAAAACCCAACAAACTAAACCAAAACCCAAAGAAACCCTTAGCCCCTCAAAACCAAATCCATTAATATTAACTTTGCAGTATTATCAGTTCACACTTACCTTTCTAAAGTGTGCAAGCATGTCTGGGCTTCTCTCACACATCTCTGTGAGGAGGACAACTGATGTGTGAAGAACACCTAAAGGTGAAGGGAAAAAAAGAAAAAACTATCTCCATTTAACATAATTTCATTGGCTCCAGGTATATTACAAGGATCATAAGGAAACAACAGGAGATCATGAAAAAAAATATCATTCTTCAATCCAGCATATCTACCACAATATATTTGTGCTTGCTGCTGTGCCCAAGGGAAAGCAGATAGCAGTGTGCTCTTGTCTTAAAGCTGCAACTAAAAGCCAAAGAAGGAGTGGAACTTTGTCTGCAGAAACTTGCATGCTAAATATACAGTCAGATGGTACAGACACAGTTTGACTAGATGATCTTTAAGGTCCTTCCAGCCCAAACCCTTCTATGATTCTGTGCACACATAGAACTCTACAAGGACAACGGACATGTTAATTGCATTGTAGGTGTTGGGTTCCTCACACTTGCTGATTTTTCTCTTCTGACTTGTACCTGATGTGACCTCAGAAGGTCTCAGAACTCAATCTACAGAAAGACTCCAGTAGCTGCCTGGTCACACCAGTGCCTGTGCACTGGCAGCCAGCTGCTGTGAGCCCTGCCACAGCAAAACCCAGGCAAAGAAGCTCTGAAAACAACAAGAAAAAGTATGGCAGTTACAACTCACTTAACTAGATGTCAGTTCTATATAACGTGTGAGAAACTTAACAATAAGCATCATTGTACATCCACATTCAGCTGTAACACAGCAATCTCCCCCAGATGCTAGCTTTTTCAGTTATTCATTTTCTGTAGCTGTTAAGTTTGTACTGGAGAGCTCCTGACTCAGAAAGAGAGCACAAGCTTACTTAATAACCAACATTTTCTACAAAGATGAGAATATTTATATTCCACAAGCTATGTAGCTTTCTGACCTATTAGACATTCTATCCAAAATCTGTTTTGAAATATGTATCTATCTATAAAACTTACATCACAGCTTTCTTATCACTGACGTTGCTTACTTATCACCAAGACCTCCCAAAGGCTGCTAAAAGGGTTTCACAGATAGTCTGTTTTACAGAAAGCTCAACACAAAGCTCATGACTCAAGACTGCTGGAAAGGAGATGCCGATTTTTAGGACGAGGAAAGCAGAAAGGATGATGTGGTTCTTGAATGCAGGTGAACCCAGACTCAATTCTCTTCTTACCACAGGCTTGAAGAAGAGCATTCCCATCTTTAAAGAGAGAATAGGGGGAACAAAACAGCTCTAAGCTTTTCAGAGTTGCATTAAGATAAAGACAGGGGATCTCATGCTACTAACATGGATCATGTAGGTATCACTGATAGTCTGTGTGAAGTAGTGCCTATGTGAAGCAGTGCCTAGTCTAAATGTTCTGATCATCATGTTTTAAATCAAGGTAAACTAGCTGCACCACACAAACTACATTCTACAAGCAAACTGTCCTGTACCTCAAAGGTTTACAATACATGCAGGGGGGAAAAGGAAAAAAAAAAAAAAAAAAGAGAGAAGTGGGGGGTGGGTGGGGCGGCGAAAGAAGCAATAGTTTCTCAGGAAGCTACTGTGCCCCATTAGTCCTGTTGGCATTTACAACTACCCTGTCTTGAGACAGAACTTCTCCCTGTAATGGGTTTTCAGCACTGCAAACTTCTACTCTACACCTACTTATTTTTTTTAACGCACATGCTCACTGCAGATGTGCCACAGAAGTAAGACTTTGGGAAGTGAGTGCTAGACTTGATACAAATTAGTCAAGGTGTTAGTATTAGAATTGAATTTTCCTTTAAATGATCTTCTAGAAGCACTTATGCAAGAAAATGCATTAAAACAGAATAATCTCACACAGGAACATTGAAGTGAGAATCTGTTTTCTGATGTTCTGATGGAAAATGGTACCAAAGAAAGCCTCTTTCCTGACACTGATAAAGGTATCTCAGTCCTGAGAATGCCTGCTAAGATGATGTCAAAGAATCCCACAGTCCTCTGCTAACAGGACACACAAAACCCCCCAACTCTAAAAAGTGCACTTTAGAGTCCCTTTAGACAAAGTATTGGACTCAAAAAAAAAAAAAAAAAAAAAAATCACAGTCTTTCCCATTCCACCTACTCCAAAGTTTATCAAAAACCATTTTATTGAAAGAGTTCCTTTTGTCACCTTTACCATGTAAAACTCCCGCTGACTACTAGCAGAGTCATACACATCCCTTCTGAATGACACTTGCTTTCACTGCACAGAAATAGGAAGAAACAAATCACATAAATACACCTCAAAAGTTCCTTCCCAGAAAGGATTTAGGTAGTGCACCATCATAGCCTGGCTAAGTAGAGTCTCTGGTATTACCGTGGTTCTTCTCATTCAGCAAGTTTTTGGTGGCTGGCAGGAACATCTCCATGAGTTCAGGCACCTTTCTAATGACATGAACAGCACACAATGCTGCCTGTATAGGAAAAACATCTGTTAGTACACACTGTAATGACAATGATACATGCTTTGAGAACATCTATCAAAGTGGGAACTATCACAAATAATATACAAAGGCCTGGAAAGTTCATGGTACATTTTCCCTTCTCTCTACCACAGCAGATACAAAACAGCATCAGAGAGTTCATTAAAACTACTTTTAGTGTGGAGGGGGGGGAGAAAAAAACAAAAAGGCACTGAGCTACAAAGTAATACTCCCACTAGCAACAGCCCATTTTTACATGATTCACTTCAGAAGTGGTAACAACTGAAGAGCAATCCTGTCATTTAAGACTACTTCAGTCTGTCTCCCCATTGCTAGGGAGGGCATAATGCATTGCAAGCAAACAATTAAATTTATGTCAAATTATGGCTCACTTTCTTTCCTGTGAATATCATCTCTTTCCCCTCAAAATAACTATAATTCCTCCTGCAGGTGATGGGTCCTGAGAAAAACAAAATACACTGCAAAAAACCTGCCTACTTCTTCTAAAATACAAAAGCAACAGGAGACACTGTTCTTGGCTGCTACTTGAGAATCAAGTGCACTGAGGGCCTCTTCACAGAATACAGCAATATCTCCTAGCACTGCTTTCTCTTCAATCTCTCTCTAGGTCCAACACTAGACAAAGAAGTAACAATGAATCATTCCTAAATCCTACTGACCCCACCCTCCCCAAAACTGAACAATTAAATAAATTTAAGAGAACAAGGGTGATTACACTTTGTAGACGCTATGGTACACTTACTATGAAAACAACACAACTTGAAGTTGTTTGCCTGTTTCAAGCCCTTAACCTTTCTCTCTCATATACTACTGCTGGAGACGGTCAAAACAGAAACAATTGCCTCACCTGTTGGTGGCCCATCTTCCAGAGACTTACACACCTTCCAGCTACAGACAGACAAGGAGTTTTGACCTCTATCTGTCTCGCACACTGGGAAAATACTCAGCCAGTGTGATCCAAGCCTTCTAGTATTCCAGATATTAGCAAGGCATCTGATCAACCTTGAGTGTTAATCCATAATAAAGTATTCAAAAGTTCCTTGAATTACCTTCTTCCTAAGATAGGAGTTGGACGTTTTGAGGAGCTTTTCCACCTCTCCTGCAAGGTCTCTGCACATTTCTGAGGAGCCCATGCAGCCAAGAGTGCAGAGTGCCAGCCCCTGCACATACTGTGTGCTGTGATTAAGGTCACTGTACAGGGAAAGAAACAGAAATTAAAAAAGCCAATGAGCAAGCACAAAGAACCTGAACACACAGGAAAAGGCATCTGTACCTGCAGTCATCTAATCAGCCACATACCTGGTGCAGGAGAACTCTCCAGATTCTCAGCTATTTGGGAGCGTTACTTAGGAGCAATACCAACTTTGAGTGCACAGGGTTTGCTACTACATCTACTTAGAACCCCAGTCATAAAGATAAAATACTTAGTTAAAACCATCAGGTGGTTATCTAGGGATTGAGCTGAGAAGAAGAAAGACCCACTAATTCCATTAAAACTTCTTAAGAAGTTTCTTAAGTCTTCTTAAGTCTTAAGACAAAATGCTGTATTTTGGAACTTGCATGCAGAAAAGAACCTAACATGAAGTACAGTGACTCAGTGGGTTGTTCAGTTTAAGTATGTTCTAGGACAGGCTTTAGCTTCCGCATTTATAACCAAATGGTGTAGAAAAATCTACATAAAAATATCCTTTGGCCTGAGTAAAAAAAATCACAAATCCCACCACTCACACACCCAGAAAATAATCCATGCAGGAATCCTGTTTAGCAATTTGAACCATTCCTATGCCTAAGAAAGTTGCAAAGCAGTCAATGAGAAGTTAAACCACCTAACAGTAGATGCCATTCATAAGGCTGGCTACCAATGTCAGACCAAGTACAAGACAATACAGCTTTCACATGGCAATCCTAACAGCCTTTAAAACTGTTTTCTACAGTAGTGTAGGATTTTCCATCTGACTATTTGGTATTTGTGTTGCCACAGAATCCAGGATCAGTGTTGAATAAAGTAAGAAGTATGGTTCCTGGTTTGGGAGCAAGGGGAGCTGGAGACTACAGGATGAGAAAGCTGGGGCAGTGAGTGCTATGTAACCAAATGCTCACAGCGTGCAGAAAAGCCAGAGACAATATTCTGGTTGTAACACCAAGCAGTTATGGCAACATGCAGATGAAGGAACAGATAGCGCATGCCACTAAATGGGTTTGTTTTTTGTTTCCTTCCTTTAACAGATTTTTGGCAGCTATATAAAGCTGTATGTATAGCAAGTATGTGCTTACTATTTTCTACCAAAAAACTAGGTCTTGCTCTAAATAATGAAAGATAATGCCATAAATCAAATGCTTTAACATCTAAAGAACAGCAAGACAAAGTGGTAGATGCAGAAGCCAAAGGAGAAAGCAATAAACAACCCACTAAGGTGGTGGGAAGCTGTCCACCCATTTTGCTCAGCTTCAGTCTGACCCATTTCCAGTTCAAACTCTCTAAACCCTTACCACACAAATTCGTTTTAACATAAATAATAAAGAGAAATGTTAACCTAACAGCCTGGTTCTAATGCAAAAGCCTCACAAGTATGACATTTCAATGAAAAATTCTTAGCCAAATGTCTCTTCTCTCCTGGACAATAGGTCCAAAGTCAGCAGATCCTCAGGCCTGCAGCTTTCTCAATTTTCTTTCCAAGCACTTTGAGGCCACAGCCCACCTGAAGAGCAGTACTTCACCTGCTAATATGTGAGGGGCCATACAAGGGGGCTTATGTTCTAAAAGTAAATAATAATAAAACTAGACACCACACCAACCAACCAAGCTAGAACCCAGTAATTCCACTCTTATTCTAATCCATCTTGAAAAGGAGTGTTATTGGAAATGCATTAATCATCTACTAAATTATAATGTAAACCAGTCCCAGTTAAACAGCATTCTGCTGAGAGAAAAAGAGTAAAAAAAAAAAAGTTATGTCCCATCCTCTCTGGTCTGATTTTAGCACAATGCTGAGCAGACAGCAAATCCCAAGTTGCCATCCTTGCTTCCAAGGAAAACTATCTATCAGGACCATTAGGCCAACCTTAAAAAGAAAGCAGGATACAGTGCCTTGATCCTTAAAGTCAGACAACTCTTCAGAGCTCATCAGCAGAAGTCAAGTAAACAAACCAGGCCAACATGGCTGCAGCAATATATATGACCTTGTGGCATATGATGGTGAGTCCAGCCCACAAAGTTTTAAGAACATCCTGATTCAATCACATTTAGAAGGTGCATGGACCTTTACTGATACTGCATTACGTTTGCCTGGCTCTTTCCCACTGCAAGCTAGGAGATAACTAATTTACAGAAATGGAAGAGAGTTCTTTGCAACAATTAGAGGTCTTAACTGCACTGGCCCAGCAGCTTACTATGGTCATTTAATTTTCCTGATTATCTTAACATGGCCTCCAAAAACACACACTACCATTCTCTAACAGTAGTTCCATGAAGTGCTGTTTGCCACATATATCTCTTCAGGACCAATGCAATTGTCTACTCTCTTCCCCCTAAGGAAGCTAGACAGGATCATCCAATACAGTACAACACTGGAACAGTCTTTTATGGTCAACAGCATACGATGAACTGAAGATACTAGTTTCCTAACACAGGGGAAAAAACCTAAAGTAGTCAAAATATCATTGTCAGGAGTGTGCTTGTGTTGATGGAGAGAGAGGTGGTACCCTTACTTCTTGATGCAATTGGTCATAAGAAGATGGACATCCTGTCTCTCATCCAGCAGCAACATGGCACCTAAGTACCCAATGCGCTTGTCTGTGAATTTCTGAGAGGCAATGAGCTTGAGGCACTCCAACTGGAAAAAACAAAAGGAAAAAAAAAAACAAGAAAAAACAAAAAGACAGAATTAGCTTAAACTACTACTTAACTAGAGGAGAAACAGTTTGAATTTTGATGTGTACTCATTTAGGTCTCAGAATGCATTTTTTAAAGTATATTTTCTTCCCATTTGGGTGTCGTAGAAAACAAAGAAAGGTTAAATGAGCTGCCCAAAGCTTCCAGCAAGCCAGCAGGAAAGTCATTAGCAGTCCCTGCATCCTGAAGTAGCCAGACACTATTGGCCTTCCATGGCTGACCTCAGACATAGCAGATATGTGGGTTTATGTCCGATTACAAAAGTAAAAGATAACATATTTATAGAAAGAGATCCATTATTAAAAACAAAATAGTAAAGATCTGGAAATCTCTATTACACATCATGTTTGATATGCACTGGAAACTTCTGAACCGGGCTTAAATGAAACCATCTACCTACCAGATAGAAGATCAGTATTCTGTAAGTTGTCCTAACATGGGCATGTAGTGACAAGACAAAGGGTAATGGCTTTAAGGGGTAAAAAGAGGGTAGATTTAGAGTGGATATTAAGAAGTTCTTCCCTGTGAGGGTGCTGAGGTGCTGGCACAGGGTGCCCAGAGAAGCTGTGGCTGCCCCATCCCTGGCAGTGTTCAAGGCCAGGTTGGACACAGGGGCTTGGAGCAACCTGCTCTAGTGGAAGATGTCCCTGCCCAGGGCAGGGGGTAGGGACTGGATAAGCCTTAAGGTCTCTTCCAACACAAACCAGTCTGAGATTCTGTGATTCTAAAATCAGATTTTGTTTGTTATAATCTGTAACTAACTTGCTAGCTAGGTAAACTCTATGTCCAAGATAGTTAAGTTTTTGTACTGCTCTGTAATCTTTATTTGAACCCCTGAAGTCTGACTAAAACCATATGCACTGTAGTCACCACAAGCTTCCCTTTAACAATGCAGAAATGTCAACTGTGTTCAACAGCATGAAGGAGATCCCTAAGATACCATGCATAGCTGCCACTTGCACTCAGCTGATTAAGAATTTAACTGGTAACCCATTTTTAAACTTAACACTTTCTTACTGCAAGAAGAAATTAACCGCATTGCTACACACTGAAATGTTTTTCTCTAACAGAAAACTGAGTATAATCAACACATACTTTCTAGACAGGAATTAGCAGAAATGGCTTCTCAAAGCAGGTAAGAGCCCTATCCCTCACAAACACATTCTGCAAGCCTGTTTTACAAATTAGCTGGGGCTGCAAGGCAGTGTACACAGTGGGCTGAAGGAAGGGTCACACAAAGCTTGCAGCAGATCATTGTAAAGGAAGTACAGAGGGCATGCACAGGCAGAAATACAGGGTGTCATGAAAAGCTTTTCATGGTCCCTACCTACAGGGAAGCTTGAATAGCTGAACAGACACAGGGATGATGCAAGAAGCAAAAACAGACTGGGAGGGTAAAGTGGTACAGGATATTGGTAAAGAAACTGAAGTGCCAGAGAACATAAATGCAATGGCCTAGCCACTGACACGTAGCTCACAGCTATGTGGCATCAGAACATACAACTCAACTATGCAAGAAGTTGTCACTATGAACTCAGCACAGGGTGACAAACATAAAAAAGAAAAAAGCTTGAAAGAGTTTAGTTGCTAGGTTTGAAGGAGCTGGAAATATAAAGAAACACCTGTGAACAATAATATCAGTCATCCACATGCATGACTGAGTTTGCACAACAGGCAAGAACAACCAGGGAAAAGGTACAGAACACTAGATATTGACCTCTTATCTTTCCAGTGGAAAATTATCTTAAAGTTATCTTTTTGAAAGAGAATAACGGACCTCTGAACCAACTTTCTTCCCCACATTTAAGAGGTATTTTCTTACACAATCCTCTGCAAAAATGTAGTATAGAATTGATGACATCTAAGCTACAATGCAAGAGCCAAAGGCAGAAGACAAATGTCTAAGAAAAAGCAGAAGGAAACTGATGACTGCAACAAATACTGTAAGATATATTTCTAGTACTTTTGAATTTGAATATTATTGACATTTACCTCATGAAAGGCTGGTGAGTTCTTGTTTCACTTGTATACAAATACATGCAAACTAGCTTCATGCACAGCAATACTGAGAAACATGATCAGCTGAAGCTCTTACTAGGCCTAATTAGTGGAAGAAATCTTGACACCATTATATCCATTTCATTCAAGGGAACAATTAAAATCTGCTATATCAGTACTGTAACAGATACATTAGTAAAGCTGGATATAGCCAGACTACAGCTTACCCAAGCTTCTACTGACATAGCCACTCTTCCAAATGGATCTTTTTTGCAAGTAGAAATAGTGACAACACTAATAAAGTTACTTCACCATTTGCCCAGACTGCTTGCCAACTTCTAAGCTTGCACAAATGGTCTTTGCACATGCTCAAGAGACAGCCTGCCATCCACTGCAGTTCGGCATGCACTGATTAAATACAGTGCTCATGCTCCTATTTCTGTACAACATATCCCAAGTCAAAGCTGAGGATCTCTGGCATGGAAAGAAGTAGATCAACCATTCACTAATGCTGACATCTTCTCTAAATTCTCTTTTATTACTGGTTACACCATCCACAGTCTTAGCTGAAGTCAGCTCTGCTTACATCTTTAAGAGAGGCTGTCTAATACAGCCTGTGGCCCTCTTCTGTTTTTTACCAACACTTATTTCCTGCATATTTATCCTGTCCCTCTCAGAAACCTCCTGTCTACAATGTTGAACTGTCTGTCTACAACAGTCCACTACCGGAACTGCAAGTGTCTTCAGCAAACTACACTCCACCTACACAAACTAGCACTTTGAAAGACTCCTTCCAGACATACGCATTGAGGACATACAGAGGTGTTCAATTTACTTCAAGAATACTTGTTAAAATCTCGTCTCAGCCTTGGACCCTACACCTTCCTGAAAGTGCAGATGATAAACTACATGAGAATAAGGCCATCCAATGAAGTAGTGTGTTCCCAAAATAGTTGGCATTGATGCTTCTGTTTGAGATGTAGCTACACTGGCAATACTAGATAGTGAATAATCTGGTTTATTCTCTTCCACTGAGAGTGAAGAGGTAATTTACCATTACTGACCAAAGCAGAAACTGGTCTAATCTTCCATATGCGGGATTAAATACTCAAGTAAAATAATCCAAATAAAATTTAAACACGTTCCCAACACAGGTCAAACTTAGAAATTCTAGATGACACTTATCTGTAACACTGTACATTCTTCTTGCAGCTATTGCATAGTTAGCCTTCACTTTTTTGACAGGAAGTTTCTCTCCTGGACCAGGGAGCCTGGCTACATGGGGTGTTAACAACAGGATAATACACAAATTCACTTGCTCTTACTCAGTAAGTCATCACCCTGAGTGAATAATCCAGTGAGGTAGAAGACTGTGCACTTTATATGCAACAGCACAGCCCAGATTCACTCCCTAACGCTAACACTATTTGGAATTTGGTATCAGTGGATTGAGTATACTGTCTCAGTAAAATGCCAGGATTGATAAAGCCAACCCTGAATGGAAAGACTCCCAAGACATGAAGCTACTTCAAGGAATACAACAATCTGACTTTATCTTTTTGGAAGGCCTAGATTAGATTACTGCTAACAGGACACTTACTGACTTCAAAGCAAAACAGACTATACACCAAAGACTAAGCAAAGCTCAGCCTCGCAACATTTTGCAGATCAAGAACTCTCATTTTCTTGTTTTCCTTTTCCACAATCTGTGTCAAAAATAGTGCGTCAAAAATAAGCCAAGAGAGAGAAAACTCATACCAGCATTCTCCAAGTTACCTCACTGAGATGGGGATAAGGAACACCAATTCCCTATTGCTGGGAACAGACCAGCTCTTATCTGTCTAGAATAGATTGCTATAGAAAGAAAAGGGTATAGAACCTTCTTTGAAGCATCTGGTATTTTCCATCAGAGAAAGATGTTCACAGAAAGTGCTGTCTTGAACCCATCTAAAAATATCCATGTGTACTGGACTGTGGTTCAAGAACTACTGCTCCACAGAAACATGGGTGGTGAGGAGCAGTCTGGCAAAAGCTGACTAACGCTAAGTTTCATAACAAAATACGTAAGTCTCCAAACAGCAGATCTCACTAAAAGCCAAAACTAACCAATGTAGGTTCAGAATATATATATGAAGACAGACCTCAGAACATCCCAAAGAGTACACAGCAAAACTGCAGCTCTGAATGCTCTACATGAGCCAATGTGCCCAAAACACACAGAGCAGACTGGCATGCGGACATAGCACAGCAAACACTGAACTCTGACCTACCTGTCCAAAATGTGCAGGGTATCCCAGCATGTGCATGTACAGCAGCTTTGCCACATTTCTGCATCGGTATGTGTTATCTTCCTCTCGGAAGGATGACCGGATAGCAGCACATTCCTTTTGGATCATCTCACGCTCTTCTGCTTGGGTTCTTGCTGTCCGGATGGTCCGGATCAACTCCCGCAGTCTGATGGGGGCTGGCATCCTCTGGGAGAAGAAAGAGATCTGTAAACCTTGTACTGCACTTAAAGGCTTCATAATGGTCTCATATTTTGGCATATTTTTTCTTCTTTCTTACCCTAAAATTATATAGGTAGAAGAATTAAGAAAATGCAGACTGTTTCAGTAGCACAGTTAATAGTAAACTTGAAACCCAGAGGAATTCACTGTACCCCACATTTGCTTTTCCAGAATATTAGAAACAGGAATTGCTATGTTTTGTGCTGTCAGGTGAACACAACACGACTGAAACCAGCAGAAACTGCACTCTGCCAGGTATGCTCTCATATTCCCATCATCTGCCTCTTTCCAGAAAAGTCAGGCTCCAAAGAGAGTTGATTCCAAAATCATGACAACTGAGGACAGAAATCCTTTACAAAAAGCAATGCATTTAAGAACTTGCAAAAGATTTCATACAAGTGCTTCAAATAACCCGCAAACTTGTGCCATATACACTTCCTTCTTAAAGGCATGGAAGTCATCAGAAAAAGCAGATGGAAGAACAGTCCTATCTGTGTGGATATTTCAGAGAATCTTCTTTTGAAAATCATTCAAGTTCACACCACCCGTATTACACCCCAAACAGAACAATGCTTTCTGTTAAAAAAAAAAAAAAAAAAAAAAAAAAAAAAAAAAAACTTGTGTAATTTTTTTAGTGTGCAAGAAAAGTGTCTTCTAAATGAACTCCAAGCAGTTTCACTTCACCAGATGGAATCCTGATGGAACCATCTGACCTCGAGAGCAGTTTATCCTTCTGAGTATTCCTCGCAAGGAGAATGGTTCTCAAACAAAAGCCAAACTTCAGTATCATGTTCAACGTTTGAACTTTTAGTTCATGCTCACCAAAGCTGACTTTCTGCTTTCTGGGAGATCAGGCTGTGCAAGCATCTCTACAGTCTCCTTCCACCCACACTACACTGCGAATATAACTAAGCCATTCTGATAACAGGTAATGTCACATCAACTTGTAAAACGTTGCCATGGCAGTCGCTACAGGTTTTGTCTGGGGCACTGTCTTCCCAGTGACAGTGTTTCATATATTTTAAGCACTGCCATATGAGAGAAAGAAGTGCATTCAGGTGCTACAGTAAGTGGCTTGGATAACACCACAGAACAGATGGGCTGGAAAGCATACAGAGGTAGCAGGGGACTTGTTTGCAGCAGCAAACCAAAGAGACGTACATCTAGTGAGTAACGGTGGCCTCACAGTAATACAGCTGAATGCAGCTCTATAGGTCTGGATTATAAATCTAGCCTCCTACAGAATTCATATGTAACACTAAGTCTCTTCAGTCAAAGCATGTATCTATGTTCACAATCCAGTTCCCCATCTTCATACCTAGAAAGTTTGAATTTACAGAAACACAAAGCATTCAATTTTGAAAGTGGAAGAATATAGAGATGTTCTTTCTGCATGAGGAAACTCTGCCCCAAAACGCTGGCATGTGTAGGATCAACATTCTTGGACACATTAATCCTTAGTCTTGCCTTGCTCCCCATGTGAACTTACAATTCTTCCTCACATTATTGTGATATGAATAAATTAATGCTTACTTTGCATGCAGATGCTCTAACAAGTATCACAGAAACGGCCACGGAGAACTATGAAATCCATCTTCAGAAAAGCATATGAACATGCAATAAATAAGGTCTGCGCTTGTGGCAGTCATGTTCTTTTCACACGGCTTGTAGTGTTCCTACACTGACAAGATCTTCACACAGAATCATACCTACATGCACACGAGGAAGCCTTTAGTTAGATGGAGTCTTTAGTCCTTAAGCTGCAGTAACGCAAGACACAACCCCCTCTCAAATTCTATGAATTCATAAAACATCATCTGCTTAAGTTCATGTTTCTGTTCTGAATAGTCATATTGGAAGTGGTCTCAATCTCCTATAAAAGCAATCCTTAACTAATACAAGTTGACACCTCACCACATGAAGAACGTGACATGCCAACCCTTCACTGCCCTAACTGGGCAATCAAAGGCAGCAGGAAGTAGATGAGAAATGGCGTATCAGCTCTGATCAAAGCTCCACCCTGTCCAGTACCCCCTTCCTGACCACAGCCCATGCCCAGGGAAGAGAGTATGAACAAGGCAAGCATGTAGCAGCAATTCCTCACAGTTCTCTTGCAGTCTTCAACCATTTGTGGCTCAAGAACTTCCAAAGCCAGAAATAAAAAAACACTCTGGTTTTATTCGGAAATTTATTTGGTAAACTTCTAGAATCAACAATATTCTGCAGGACACAAGCTGAGTTCCACACAGCTTCGCTGCATGACACACGGAGATGTAGCTACTTCTTCCATTCTGTACTGCCAACTGCTTGTTTCCACGGATGCTCCCAGTTATTCTATGCACTTCCATTTGTTATCCTTCCCTCATCCTTCCCAGTCCAAAAAACACAGCCTCACATCCAAGCCCTTCCATAACTGATTTCCTTTGTTGCCTTGCCTGTGTGTTCTACGCTTTTCCCACGTCCTTTCTAAAGGGTGAGAGAAGCAAAATGCTGCATGCAGCAGTTAAGAGGTAGATATGACATTGATTTATTTGTATAAAATGTCTTCTATTTTGGCCACTGTTATTTTCCTAATAATTGGTAACACTCAGTTTGGGTTCCAATTGCTACAAAGTGCTCAGCTTGTGTTTTTCACATAACAGTATCATGAGCCCAAAAATCTCTTTCCTGTTTGCCAACAGTGTGCTTAAAGCCCCTAACTTTTAAGTCTGGACTCACCTAGTACACACACAAATCACACAGTTCTAAACTGATTTTGGTAAGCCACACTCTCATTGGAAAATTGTGAAGAAGTTAAAAAAATAAAAGCCCTACTGCAGGAATACTCCTCTGCAGTCTATGGGCAGTATTTTCACAATCACTAAGATCACACATATGCAGGCTCAAGCTGAAAGAGGTGGTTCCAGCCCTCCCCTTGCTCTGACACTGGCAGTCCTGGGACAGTGCACCACATGAGGCAACCTGCACATCTGAATACCGGCTTTCTGCTTTCCTCCCAAACAGAATAGTCTTGAGACACATCTGTTTGGCTCGTGCAGAAACAAAGGGGGCAGCAACAACACAGCTTTGGGAGACCCAAAGGGAAGTGAGAAAGAGGTGAAGTATTCCCTCCAGCAGTAAACCACACTTATGCCATGGTTCTGCACCCAGGTTAATTGATCTAGAACTTTAATGTTCCTGAGAAGATAGGCAGTGGTTATTACAAGTTAAAACCATAAGTGACTTTCTTATTTTAAAGAAAGAATTCTTTGGAAACTTTTTGAAACACCAACACACAGTCTGCAAACAAGTTGAAGTTTGGCAGCAACTTGCTTTGATATCACAAGTCCTTTTGCTGCCACTCTGTATTTGAAGAGTTGGTAAACTGCTGAACACCGATACAATCACACTGCTTTCTTTGCCATGGGACAAAAAGATGCTGTAGGTATGCTCACAAAGGGCTTCAGCAGGTTAAGTTTGGCACTGGACAACAGAAATGACAGACTGACTAAATAGTTTTAGTCAGAGGGAAAATCACATCTAACGAAGTTACCATGCAGCTTTTTATAAATATTTATTTTGCATCCTTCACCAGTTCTCAGGCAGGACTTCCAACCTCACTGAGAGGGCAGGTAAAATGAAAACAAACACTGAAAATCCAGTATGACTTCACCCAAACATCATCCAGCCACTGAACAAAAGAACAGTCTGTAATTACAAATGCCCTTGCATAAACAAATAGTCAGCAAGTCAGCTTGTAACCACAACCACAGCAAAGCAAAGCAGAAACCAGCATCTTGGAAACCAAAGAATTAAAGAGTAAGACTCATAATCATGATAGCCAAATTACGAGGCTACCTCCTGGTTTCGCCTGTGTAACAAACCCACATACAGTTACTACAGATATAGTCCAATCTGAACTACTTCCCAAGACCAGTCGTATGTCACACATGCTTCCTGCCTAATAAGGATAGATCAAATCAGAACTGCTCTGAAGACAACATGATGTGCAAAAGACAAAGCTATGATTTATTTTCCAACATTCAGAACTTCCATCATTGTGCTGCAACTCCACACTCTGTTTTCTTTTTACTTACTTCTGTTTAATTAATCATTCTGCTTTTTAAAAAAATATACATTTGAATTCTTCCCATATAAAACGTGTCACACTGATCTATATAAAATACTCATTGCCTACTGATTTATTTTATGTCATCTGCGATTTTACAGCTTTTAATTGCACCTACCCCTCAGCCACCTCCCTTTCTAGGCAGTAGAGTGCTACTCTAACCTCTTCCTGTATGGAGCCACTGCACAATTCCTTCAGATTGCTGTCTACCTCTCAGAATTCCACTGAAAAAGAGTAGACATATAAAAAAAAATATTCAAGCAGTGGGTGCTCTAAGAGTTCACAAAGATTTTTCTTTTCTCTGCACTTAGAAAGTTACAAGTGTTTAAACTCATTCTGCCTGTTTGGCTGCTGGGGAACTGACATTTCTAATGAAGATCTTATAGACAGCTTTAAGACTTCAGGCTTGAGTGACAACTGAGAGCCTTTCACCATGTATTTATCTTAACAGTAATGTCTTTTCAGCGTAGGCATTGCTTTGCATTTATTGACAATGAATGTATTTCACCATCTTACTGCATACTTCCTTGGTATCACAAAATCCTTCCACGGCTTTAGAATGAAACTATCACCTCACTACTCAGTCCTCCAGAGTGCTTTAGGAACACGCTGACTGGCACAGGTTCATAGCATACTTCTCAATAACCACCTCTAAATAACCAACTACTATTATGAAAGCCAGTATTTTCTGTCATTGTCTGGACACTTTTCTTTCTTCCCTACCTACTTACTAATAGACAAAAAACTCTCTTGAAAAACCGTGCTATAAAACCCTTTGGTTAGAGGCTCTGCCAAGATTTCTGGGGAGAAAAAACAAAACAAAAACAAAAAACAGCCACCAAAAAAACCCCACCAAA